CCTCTGGTCATTCTTCTTCCTTTTAATACCCTACTTTTCCCTCTGGAGAACACACCTAAATCCTGCCCACTCGCATGGCTCTCCTGAGCTCCAGTAAATCTGCTTACCTGCCCAATGCCTCCAGGTGGGAGCTGCAGTATCATCTCAGACTCATCACATCTAAAGTGGGGACTCATCTTCCCTTTAAGCTACTCTGGGACCTCAGGCTCTGCTGATGGCACCATTCAGCCCCCACTCTTCCTGTAAATCACCTTGGATTCTATTTTTTTCCTCTCCCCAACTTTGTCCCATCACTAACTCTAGGTAACCCCCCAAGCCCTCCCATGACTCCTGGCCCCCCTTTCCTCTGTCCACCTGCACTCTCTGAAGCAGTGCGGCCCTTCCACCTGCCTCCTGAGTGCTCTTCCTGCTGTCAGGCTTTCTTCTGATTCTATACTCAGTGTCAGATTGATCTCTGTAAAACATTACATCTAAGTCATGTCAGATTTCACTCCCTTCAGGATTAAAGCCAAGCTTCTTAGCCTTGCCTTCAGAGCCCTTCATTGCCTGTTGCAAGCCTACCTTTCAGCCCTCTCTTCCACAATTGTACTTACCTCCTGCTCAAACTGCACTGCTCTATTCACTATCCTCTGAACATAACATTTTCTCTCTGCACCTTCCCAGGTACTTCCCACATCTTACCTCCACCTCTACCACTCCAAATCCCACCTATCTTTTGAAATGCTCAGCAGTGCACTTCCCGGTGATGCCTTCTCTGGTCTCCCCATCCTGAAGTGTTCACTCCTTCAGAACAACCAGAGTATTTAATTTTTACCTCTTAGTGCTTTGGGTGGCCCATGGACCAGCAATGTGGGTATCACCTAGGAGCCTCTTAGAAATGCAGACTCTCAGGCTCCACCTGGGGCCCCTGGAACCAGAATCTGCATTTCAACAAGATCCCCAGGTGATTCTTGTGCACATTTAAGTTTGAGAAGCACTGGACAATGCATTCATTGAGGGTAGGATCTTGCTTCTGTTTGGGAGTGGCCTTTGGCCCAGGCTGGGGGTATTCTCAAGTACCAAGTCTAGCAGCCCCTGTTAGGTGACAGGTGCCACATCTGGCCAGATCCCACAAGGTGTGGGAGGGGGTGGATGGTGGAGATGGCCAAGAAGCATGCGTACTCTGCCCGGACCCTTCCCACCTGGAATCTATGCCCCACAAGGCCCCAGGGCTCAAGCTCTGAGTATCTGACTCTGGAAAGCACTCCAGTGACACAGGAGGAATCAATTAATCAATAAAAAAGCAGTTGTTAAGCATATAGCAGAACTTTTCCCTCTTCACAAAACACACAGTGGTGGAAATGTCTATCATTTTAAAGTATGTTTTGAAAAGAAAAATATGTATTTTAGTTTTTTCTTTGTGATAACATTAATACAGTTTCTAAAGTGGTAACTTTAGAAAACACAATATGTCACATGAAGAAAATAAAAGTGACTCACAGTTCTACTATCCAGCTATAAATACTGTTGATTTAATGTTTATTTAAGATCACCATTCATTCATTCAATAAATATTTACAGAGCCCTACTATGTGCCAGACACTGGGGACTCAGGGTGAAGATAACAACATGGTTCCTGTTTTTAAGCAGCTCATAGCCAGGAGGTGGGGGGTGGGAGATAAGCACTGAACAAGTTAGGGACAGCAGCGTGTTAGTTTCCTAGGGCAACTGTGACAAAGTACGGTAAACTAGATGGCTTAAACAACAGGAACTTATTTGCTCACAGTTCTGGAGGCTAGAAGTCCCAAATCAAGGTGTTGGCAAGGTTGGTTCCTTCTGAGAGCTCTGAGGGAGACTCTGTTCCATGACTTTTGGTGACAGCTGGCAATCCTTGGCTTGTTGCTGCATCACTCCAATCTCTGCCTCCATCATCACGTGGTGTTCTCCCTGTGTCTCTGTCTTCACATGGCTGTCTTCTTATAAGGACATCAGTCATAGTGGTTTAGGGACCCACCCTACTCAGGTACGGCCTCAACTAATCTCATCTGCAATGACCCTATTTCCAAACAAGGTCATATTCCGAGGTACCGAGGTTAGGACCTCAACATATCTTTTTTGGGGGGCACAATTCAACCCATAACAGGCAGGGACAGTACCAAGTCTGGGGGAGCACAACAGGGAAGACTCATCTGGGAAGACTCTCCTAGGAAGTGACATTCAAACTGGGACTGAGCAATGTGAAGGGATTAGCCAGGCAAAGGTGGCACCACAGACAAATGGGGTTCTCAGAACATGAGGGTGGGGGCGGGCTGGAGAGGAGCATTCCAGGCAGACAGGAGACAGAGTGGCACTTTTGAGGAATGGAGAGAAGGCACGTGGTGCTGGAATACAGAGGAGGGGCAAGAGCATGGGAGGAGCAGGGTAACTGGCTTGTGGGCCTTGGTGAGGAGTTTGACTTTCTCCTGAAGGAAATGGGGAGCTATGGGAGGCTGTCACGCAGGAGTGATTCGTTCTGCTTTGTGAACTGTCTGCTCACAAGACTGAGCTGTCTGAAGGCTCTGTTGTCCCCAGTTCTGAGGGAAAATGTATGGCCATGCCCTCAGGAGCCCCATGGCTGAGAGAAGACACATAGGAGCCCTGATCAAGGAAGGAAGACATGTCCATGCCCCCAGCAGCCCTTTGTCCAAGAGAGGACAAGCCTTGCCCTCAGGAGCTTGTTCTGAACAGGACACAGGGCACACCCAGCTCTGGGTCTGCCTCGACCCTTGGGTATACTGAGTCTTTGGAGTGTGGGGGACACAGGCTTGGTTCTGGCTACCCCACTCCCTGCCCTGCCTTGAGGACTTGGTCTGAGAGTGTGTCCAGGGCAAGTGCGTGACCCATGTGGGTCCCTGAGGCGACAGGCCCCGATGCTGGGGGAGACCAAAGGCTAGGTCTTGCAGAGGCCATATCCTCAGCACCCTGTTCTCCCCAAGAGATGTCTGGATATTGCTTTACTGTGCAAGACCCACCCTCTCTGGTGCTCAACCCGTCCCTTACCACAACCTCAGAGGGCCACCCCTTTACTATGTGTGATAGGAGAGCGCCCCCCTGCCCAGAGCTTCCTGTCCCCTCTTGTCTGGGCTGGGCAGGCCAGACTGGGTGGAGGAGAAGTGGGTCAGCTTGGTAGCCATGGTGACAGCAGCTGCTCCCTGCCAGCCTTCTCATCTCCTCACCACAGACCTCACTGATGAGCTCCTTTGTCCGGCCTGCAGAGATAGGGGCCAGGAGGGTGAGATGGGGGGCTGGAGTGTATATGAGTGTGTGTGTTCAAGCTCACACAAGTGCCTGCTCAGAGCTGGTGTGTGTGCTGCATCCAAGGGAACCCACAGATCCCGGTAAGACACTGCCACTTCCCTGCCCACCGAAGGGATGGGGCTTCCTGCCTCTCTGGGCTGGGCAGGGGCCAAGGGGAGGGTGTGTGTGTGAGTGTGTGGGGTGTGTACACACATGTGAGTCTGTGAACACCTGTGGCTGTCAGTGTGGCTGCTTCTGTGTGCCTTTGTGTGGATGAGTATCTTGGGAGGGGGGTGAGTATATCTGTGTACACATGTGATTGTGTCTTTAAGTGTGTATCATCTGTGTGGGACTGTATGGTGTGTAATCACACATTTGAAATTCTGTGCCTTGTGTCTCTTCCTGTGTTTGTGTAGTGTGTGTGTGAGCCTGGTTTGGGGGAGATAAAGGTCACACAACCAGGAGAGGAGCTGGCACAGTGCTCCCCACTTGGGCCAGCCTACTTCCCCCACCACGTACCAGCCCTGTCACCCACCCGTCTCTCCCTGAGGGGGAAAAGGAAAGGCTAGAAATGAGGGAACCCCTCTCCCCTCATGTGGATGCAAGTACTGGCCTCTGACATGGGTGAAGATTGGCACAGGCCATGTGGTAGGCAGCCCTGGTGCTGGAGCAGGGTCAGGGCAGGGGTCTCAAGTGCCAGACCCTGCATCCAGGGAGGGGCCAGGAGCTGAGATGCTGGCAGGGAAGAACACAGCCTCGCGTGCCAGCTCCTATCTCAACTGAGAGGTGCAGGGACTCAGATCCTACACTTATCCTGGGCTCTGGGTGGAAGCATCTAGAGCTGGAGTGGGAGGTGATCCTGTTAGTCTCTGAGGCTCCCATGAAGTGGTTGCACCTGGTGTGCAATCCAGATCAAGAGGACAAACACCTGTGCAGTCCTTTACTTTTGACAAAGGCACCGTTATGAGTACTAGTAATGTCATTGCCCAAATGAGCATTTAGCATGTACCAATCCTTATTTTGTAATATTTCTTCTAAGACGCTTGAGGCAGGCATTATTAACCCCACTCTAGAGATGAGGAGTGATAGGCTCAGGGAGTTTGTTAAGGAAATTGCCCTGCGTCATCCGGCAGATCTAGGTTTTGAGCTAAGTCTGCCTGCCTCCAAAGCCTGTGCTTTTAATCACTGTGCTTTCCTGATCCTCATTATCTCCTCTGACCCCTAGTCCAGCCTGCAAAGTCGGGCTGGGTCCAGGTGGCGAGTAGACTCATGTTATAGAAGAGGAGATGGAGGTTCAGAGAAGCTGAATGACTTGCTCAGGGTCACGTGACTGAGGGTGGAGCCAGGAGTGCCCCCCCACCCCCCTTCACTGCTGGACATGTCACAGTGTCTGCAGAGGGACACAGACCCCGTTGGTCAGGGGAAGGACCAAGGAAGGAAGAATGGGGTCTAGAGCTCCTTAGCAATTGGACCTGGATGAGTCCCTATGTGTTAAAAGTCTTAAAGTTGTGAGTGGGGCTTCAACACCAGCAGTTTGACATTAAAGAGCCTAAAGGCAGTTTAAGGGACCCAGGAGTTTGGACAATTTTACAAACGAGGAAGCAGAGAATCAGACAGTTTAAGTGATTTACTCAAGTCACACAGTTATCTCCAAAGTCGGTCTTTTCACTCCACAAGCTGCTGGAAGACTTTGAGGACAGATGTCTTTCCTAGCCCTTCCTCTAAGCTCCCCTCTTTCCTTCCAGACTCTTATCACATCACCTTCTCCTGGGAGCTACCCTGATTGCCTTCACCTTCTTTCTTGAAAACTGGTGTCTCAGCAGAAGTTAATTGAAGCCTGTGTAAATGCCCTAGGGGTGTGCTGTTGGCAGGGGCACAGCCCCCTGTGATGCAGAACACCACGCTGGGATTCATCAGTTTGGTGAGTTGGAGTTTTCTTCAAGGTGAGAGGTGGGGAGGAAGCACCTGGCAGGTGATGTGGGACCTGGGAGTTAGGAGACTTGGGTTGGAGCTCTGGTTTTGTCACCAACTTTCTGTGTGACCCTGGATGTCATACAGGTGTGACACCCTGTGTCACATAGAACTCTGGGTGTCATACAGGTGTGACACCCTGTGTCACATAGAACCCTGGGTGTCCCATTCTGGGCCCTGATTTCCGTCTGCAAAATGAAAGGCTCAGGCTGGAACAAGGATGGCAGATCACTTTTAACTCATGAGCTGGCTCTCATCAGTTGGTGCTGGAGCACAGTGTGGAGAGGCATTCTGAAGTTAAATCTGCCTTGACGGGAAAGGGATGGATTAGTGATGTCTGCTGTGGGTGGAGGATGGGGAGAGGTGGTAAGAGCCTCAGTTATTTGCCATCCCTTCCAACCTAACAGTCCATCACCCTGTGACAGATTCCTCAGTCTTTCCTTTGGAAAGGGTGGGTAGCTAGGTTCATCTTGGGCTTTTGGATGGCCTCATTGACTCTCAAAAAAGGCTCATTGTCTGGTTAGACACATGGTCAAATGGACCGAGGGGCCCAGGGTGGCCTGGCAGAGCCCTGAGACCTGCTGTCATCAGGATTGAGGAGAGGGTTTGGGGAGCTCTTGCTGTACTGAGACTCCAGGGTAGAGACCAATCATCAAGGGCCGGGAAGAAAACACTGGGCTTATCCTTTGGGGAGCTTTGACAGGAGGGGGGCAGTAGCCCTCCTCCCTGGAGGGTAAATCCGAGCCGTAGTAGTAAATGCTGCTGGAGCAGCAGATGGGAGTCAGCAGGGAGAACTTCACAGTGAGGGCCCCATGACCCAGCGAGGTTTGAGAGGGTTCCCTTCCTTGGGGTGCCATGAACTGGGCTGGGAAAGGGACAGTCCTGCTCAGAGGCAGGGAATTGTTGAAGTGACTTTTGTGGAAAAGATGTAGTTCATTTAGCCATATTTTAGAACCACCAGAATATGAGGTGCTGTGTTCTGTGTCCTGCCGGTCCCTCACCGCTCTGGCCCCATCTCTGCCTGCTGCTCCTTTCCCATCCCTGTGGTCTGATAGCTCGGGGCTTGCTGTGCAGTAGGACTTCCATCCTCAAAGGAGCCAGGTGGCCGGCTCTGTCTGTCTCTGTCTTGCCCTTGTTGAGCTAGACTGGCTGCCAGAGAAGCAGCTGGACCCCCAGTTCTAAGCCTGCCACTGCAGTGCGTGTTCACAGACTGTGCTCTCCCAGTCAAAGGACGTTTAGAGACCATCTAATCCGACCCCTTCATTTTACACACGGAGGAGGAAACCGAGGCCCAGAGACGGTGACACAAGGAATCTGTATACATTCAGATTCCACCTCCTGATTCTTAATTGTCCCAGGCTGCCCTACCCAGACTCCTGCACCAAGGGGTCAGGCCCTAAGACCTTGGGTCCAGGGCTTTGCGTCTGGCTCCTCCCATCCTCTTGGGGACGTCCTGCCGGGCTGGGCCCTCCCAGGCATTCGTCAGCTCGCCAGGCCCCCTAGGTGACCTCTGGGTGGTTAAAGATGAGAAAGTGGCTCTGGATGGTGCAGAGCCCTGGATGTCAAGCCATCCCCTTGTCAGTGTCATTCATTATTCATGAGGAAACATGAGCCCCTGGGTTGGCAGGGTCAGGAATTTTGTCCCTTACCCTCTTCCCTTCCTTCTCACCCCCTGGGAGTGGTGCTCTACAGCTTCCTGTAGGCTGCACCGGGAAGCGCTCGCTTTTCCAGCCGTGGTCTGGGTGGGGTTTCTGCCGCCCCTTAGATCCTTGTGCCAGCTGTGGGCACCTGGGCCAGAGGGGTTTTTCTCCTCATAGATAATTTCCTGGCAGTTTTTTCAAAGAGCCCAGAGACCCAGGGCAAAGCCTGAGTGGGAGGGATGGGCCCACATCTTTGGGTGAGCTCTGGGTTGAAGGGGCAGGGGCTGCTGAGTGTGTCTATCTCTTTGTGGAAATAGGAGACCTGGGTTCGTGTCCAGGCACTGCCACTTATTAGCTGAGGAGGACGGGCAAGGTCTTAACTCTTCTGAGACTCAACTTTCTCATCTGCGACATAGAGATTACTACGTGCCTACCAGAAATACTTTAAAGAGTAAATTAGGCTTATACTGTAGCAGATTCAAAGTATCAGATGAGCCCTGGCCCACCATCCACCAAAAGACCATACAGAGGCCCAAAAAACACATGAACTGGCACTGGAATTGGAAACTGCAGAGAAGAGGTCATCACAGGCCCAAGTCCAGCGGGACTTTACATTAGCTGCCAGGTTGATGGGGGGTGCAGGAGAAATACAATCTGGGGCTCTGCACACGCCACAGGGCAAGCAAGAACAGTCCAGACAACCATAAAGAAAGCAGAACATGGCTTTGACTCATCCCCATGGTCAGTCCTAATTTACCAGCCGGCAGGAGCCGTGCTAGCCAAGACACCAGGCGGCCATTCTCAGCTGTCTGGGGACTGTCTTCCTGGTCAGCTGGAGGGGTGCCTTCCCTTCCCCACCCCCATTTTCCCTCCCCTTTCTACGTCCTTTTGAAAAGCCAGATTCCCTCAGGGTCACAGGCCTGAGGGCAGAGGGTCAAGCAAAGTGCCCTGAGCCCTGGAATGGGGACCTGCCCTTGGAAAAGCACTGTGGGCTGGGACAGAGCTGGGAAGGGCTGGGTGCAGAGCCTGCCGGAGTGGCCGTCTTCCCTGTACTCTGCCTGAGCAGAGGAGACCAACGCAGCATCGGACTTTCAGCCAAGTTGTAGAGGCCGACAGAGGAGATCCCACCTCTGTGCAAAACAGAACCCTAGACGCCTGCTGCCCCTCCCCCAGAGTGGCTCCCCGGCGCCCTCTGTCCTCTTCCCTAGCCCTCATCGGAACCGTCATTAAATATTTATTTGCATAATTAGTTATTTACTGTCTGTCTCTCCTCCTGGACTGGAGGCTGTGGGAGGGTAGGACCCAGTGGGCCTAGATCACTGCTGTATTCTTGGCACTCAGCGTAGGCCTGGGAATTTCAGGGGCTTAAATATTTGTTGAAAGTAGCTAATGGGGAGAGAAAATTTATATACTCTGGAAAGGAATTTGGCAATATATTCCAAGAATCAAAAAAAATGTTGATGCCTTCAGTATCAGGTAGGATGCTTCTGCATGTAACAGAGACCCCTGATCCAAACTGGCATGAGCGCTGGAAAATACGTTCTCTCCCATAACTGGAAGAGCAGAGAAGCTAGGCTCAGCGTGGCCCCAGGTCCTTTCTGTCTCTGCTGTGCTGCTCTCAGCAACACTGGTTTCCTTTTAGAGCTGGACCCTCTGTAGAGGGAGAGGTTTTGAGGGAAGAAGGGGAGGGAGAGAGACAGAGGGAGAGAGACTCCCACCTCTCTTGTAAGCATGGAATCTAAATCTCCCCCTTAAGTCAGATTGGGCCAACTGAGTCATATGCCCACCCTTGGACCAGTAAGAGTTACCAAGGCGAATGCCACTTACTGGCCTAAACTAATCAGGGTCTGCCTCTAAAACCACGGATGAGGTGGGACCTGGACAAAACCAGCGCTCTGTCAGGAAACAGGAAGGGAGAGTGGATGTTGGGGAAGCTGTCAGCAGTGTCCACATTCCCTAAGCCAGACACTCCATTTCTGGGAATCAATCCTAAGGAAATAAGCAGATAAAATCAGTGTAGAAAGATGTTTATTGCAGTGTTGTTTGAAAGAAAGGAGAGAGAGAGGGAGGAGGGGGGGAGGAGAAAGTTGGGCTTGATCTAAGAGGTGACTGTACTGAAATATTGAAGTCGATGCTACCTCCATACAGTGGAATATTACAGTGGCATTAAAACATTTATACAAAGTGTTAATGACATTGAGAAATGCTTGTAAAATGAAAAATACCAGGATATAAAATTGTATTTGTAGTATGAGTTCAGTTATTTTTAAAAATGCGTAGAAAAGAGACTGGGAGGAAATGGGTTAAAATGCTTATAGTGGCTGCCTCTCCGTAGTGCACTTAAAGGTGACTTTTGCCTGCTTCTTTATCCTTTTCTGTACCATCCCCGTCAAGACTGAGGACCCCCCCCCCCACCGTGGTCCACACCAGCTGGAGCCAGCTTTGTTCTCCCTGTTCTTATTATTGGCTGTGAAAATAACAATCGCTAACAGTTACTGAATGTTTACTCTGTGCCTGCCCCTGTTCCAGGCACTTTCACGTGCACTAATTCAATCCTTACAACAGTCCTATGGGGTAAGTGCTTTTACTCCTCATTTTGCTGAGGTGTTCCCTGAAACCTCAAGATGTGCCGTCACAAGGTCACATAGCTAGGTTTTACTGCCAAACCAGGTCACTTGCCAGGGTAGCCATGTGCTAATGAGAATAGTTCCATTTATTGAGCCAGACTCTGTGCATGCTCTTTATATTTATTTGTTCGTTTAATCCTTACAACCTCAGAGAGGCCAAGTGACTTGCCCAAGGTCACACAGCTAGGAAGTGGTAGGGCTGCGGTAGAGTAGCCCGGGGTCTGATATGGGACCCTTTTGTCTCTCCCCTTCCCCCACAGGGTTGCCTGAGGCCCTGCTGCCCCGTGGACCATGTTTAACGGGGAGCCGGGTCCGGCCTCGGCCGCAGCCTCCAGGAACGTGGTTCGGAGCTCCAGCATCAGTGGCGAAATCTGCGGATCCCAGCAGGCTGGGGGTGGGACCGGGACCACCACAGCCAAGAAGCGGCGCAGCAGCCTTGGGGCCAAGATGGTGGCCATCGTGGGCCTGACCCAGTGGAGCAAGAGCACGCTCCAGCTCCCCCAGCCTGGTGAGGGGGCATGGGACCCCCAGGGGCTGGGGTGGAGCACCTTGCAATGACTGGGCACCCACGGACTGTCCTCATGGGTGCACACTCCCACACCCACAAACACTAATGTAGTGCTTACCATATACATGTGCTTTTCTGGGTCCAGTATGTGTCCTGACTCATTGAATCCTCATATAACTCTATGACACAGGTGATGAACACAGAGAAGGGAAGTAAGATGCTCCAAATTACATAGCTAGTAGGTGGTGGAGCCTGAATTCAAACCCTAGCAGTTGGGCTTCCGAGGTCATGCTCCTAACCTTTACACTCTGCTGCCTCCATGCACAGGCTTACATATTAATCAGCGATTATTTATTAAACTGCCACCATGTTCCTGGCACTGTGCTAGATGGCACCACAACTTCACAGACACACATCCACAAGATTGTCTCACCTGTAATCTCTGAGTTTCTTAAGTACAAAGAGCCACACAAATGTAGTTAGGTAGTCACAGATATATGTTACAAAGTCACAAGAGAGACGTACACATGCAAAGATGCACATCTTGCACAGTCGCATAAATAGGGTGCTCAGGTCAGCCGCCCCTATCACCAGGGAAGCACAATACAGTCATTCCTACTGCATATGGTCACAGATAAAACCAGTCATGCAAATATCACACATCCACAGTCCTGAGTGCAGATGCACAGACCCAGATCACAGAAGCACAGTTACACATGTGCACACACCATGGTCACAGAAACTCATCACATATGTGTAGGCATGGACCTCACGAAGCCATATTCACACATACCTTAACTGCTACATCCTCATAAATACATTATACTTTCTCAGACACCTAGTTATGGAATCCCAGTCGTGCTCATTCTGGTGGGTGACCCACTTTGTCACACACAGTCGCACCTGGACCCCACATCACAGAGGAGCCAGCAAGACCTCCTTACTTTGTGGCATCAGCCCAGACACCAGCTGGTTTTGTTTTAAATCTCTTCCTGCTTATTTAGCTCAGAGTAACAACTTCCCCAAGAAACCTTCAAATAGGCAGCTGGATGGGGGTGGTGAGGGGGTGGGGGTGCCAGAGGATCCAGGGAGAATGCTCATCAAGACTCCCAGTTGGGGCTGGGGGTGGAGGACTTTTCCAGGCCTTAAAATAGGTTTCTACAAAGCCCTCCACAGGAGCATGTGAGATGGTCTTTTCCAGCAACCAAGCTGCGATGTGGTTTCTGGCTCAGGGAAATGCTAGATGGGGAAGGGGCTTGAGGTTATCAGTGCCCCAGGGTGGGCATGGCCTCTGTGAATATGCAGTGTAGGCTGGCACTAGGGAGTCAGGGAGATGGGGATCTGGGGGTCCAGGAGTTGGGCTGGGAGAGGACCACAGGGTGGGATTAAGGACGGGAGATTAAGATTAGGAGGTCAAGCAGGTGTTGGGCCCCCAGGAGTCTGGCTTCAGGAATCCAAGCCCTGCTGATCTCTGGCTGATTCAGCTTCAGACCCAAAGTCTTCTGCATGCCCAAAGTGATTTGGAGGGACAGTCTTCCAAGGCCAGGGCAGGGGCCTGAGTCACTGGGAGACATTCCAATGATCTTCCTGGGCCTGTCCACCTACCTAGACTTCACAGCCATCAGGCAGGGATTGGAGCAGACGCCAGAAGACCTCCAGCCTCGAGGGGAAATGAATGATGATGGGGCTTCTGGATCACTTTTCTCTGTGGTATGCAAGGGCATGGCTGATGGCCTGGGGCCTGAGCCAGGGGAACTGCCCCGATACCCTTCCAACTGAAGGTCTCTGTGAATCATCCAACCTCTGAACGTCAGAGCAGGAAGGGCCCCTTGAGATCGTCTAGTCCAGTGTACTCTTCTTATCGATGAGGCATCCAAGTCTGGAGAGGAGAAGGCACTTTCCTGGGAGTAGAACTTCAAGTTGGCCTTCAGAGCCACACCCTGTCATTTACTAGCTGGGTGACTCAGGCAACTTACTTTACCTCTCTGAGCCTGCTTCCTTGTTTGCAGAGTAAGGACAATAATACCTGCCTTACAGAGTTGTCCAGGGGATTAAATGAGATAGGATATGCAAAGGCACCCAGCCTCATGCCTGGCACATAGCAGATACTTGGTAAATTATCAGTGTTGTTATTACCCATGGTCATATGGTAGGGCTGAAAAAGAAGTGAGTTCTCTGGCCTCCACAGCTCTGCCCTTGGCTTGTAGCATACTCTTCTCCCATCTATAATTCCTTGTCCCCAATTTTTTCTCCCAGGCCTTGAGGTTGCCAGTGTCCCAGGGTGGAACCTCATCCTGGGAGGGAGGGTCTGGCCCCAGAGGGATGTATGGGGCTGACTCACCATGGGCATTGGCCCTGAAAACTCCGTTCTGGGAAAAGATCCTAGCAGGGTGCCCCTGCTCCCCCCGGGTGGGATGGCTCAGTTCCCTGCAGTGCTGGGCTGTGTGAAGTGGGGAGGAAGTCCTTTCCCAGACTCAGTCTTCTGGGCTCTGGGTCTCCCCTTCCCAGGGGCTTCCTTCCTCCCAGTTTATTGGTACCCTGCATTGGCTTAAGCCCCACCCATCCCCTCCTCTTTGTTTCAAAGCCTCTACCCTAGTTCAGGCCCCATGATATCTAACCTGGACTATTGCCCCAGCCTCCTCTCTAGTTCCTTTGCCTCCTGTCTGCCCCTTCCAGTTTATTCATCATGTTGTCCTAGCGTGGCCTTCCAAAAACTCTCCCTGAAACTTTAGAGAACCAGTCCTGGCTCTGTAACTCCTCGTGGGACCTTGGGAAAGTCTCTTTCCCACTGGGCCTCAGTTTCGTCTTCTGTGAAATGGAGCTGAAAAGATTTTCTCCCAGCTTCCATCTAGATCTAACATTCTTTAAGTTGTGGGAGCAGTTAGGAGGGTGGGGTCAGAGCTTTAGGGTCCTAGGACACAGGTGGGTTCTGGCCTGGCCTTAGACTGGGTCCACACAGGGCCATCCTGGGCTGTCCTGGCCCCTGCCCAAATGGAGCTCCTCTTTTCAGTACCAAGGACAGTAGCTCTTCCCACCTTGGCTTGAGGTCAGGATGGGGAGAGAGCTCAGGATTCTTCAGGAGATGCCATGGGGAGTACTGCTGGAGGCTGTGACTCCCTCTCTCCTATGTGGTGGGACAGATGGGATGGTTCTTGGAGTCTTTCAGTCTGCACAGAATTATTGCAAGCAACTTGGCCCAGTCCTCTAGAGAGAGGAGCTACATAAAGTTACTGCCCAAATCAACAGGGTTTAGAGACTGGACAGGTATGAAGCCAGCAGAGGAATTTTCTCTGAGGTTGCAAGATGTCTCTCCCCATCCAGAAGACATGGAATTTAATCTCTGCTGAGTCACATCTCAAACCAGTGTGGAGTTGGTGGCAGAGAGTGAAAAGTAGCATCTCAGTAGACTAGGAGGCAGTGGGCGTGGGGTCTACCCTCAGCTCTGAGCGCCCGGACCTCAGGCTCCCCATCCGTGAAATGGCAGAGGTGAGGGGCTAGCTGAGGTCTCTCTAACATTTCAGGATTCTGTGACTCCCCTACCCAGTGGCTCACAGTGGGTTGGGCAGGTCAAAGAAGGTAAATTTTCTCTCAAGTGGGTCAAATCTTTCCAAAGCTCTAGAAGAGAGGGGATTGGGGCCATGAGGTGGTGAGAATCTGGCCTCAGCTCCAGGAGTGTATTGTAGGGGGAGATTTGAGGGGAGGGAGGGTAAAGTGCAGTCCCCACAGACCCATCTGTCTTCTAACTGGGTTAGAGAGGATGTGGCAGTTAGGAGCCAGGGACAGGGCGAGTCCCCCCACACCCACCATTAATTGCTCAGGCCTCTATGTGTGGTGGGCCACAAATCATTTGTGGGTTTGCACCGATGTGTGTGAGTGGACAGGTTCAACTCCAAGTGTTATGGTGTGAAGGTCACATGTATGTGGCAGAGTATGTCATGTGTACGTATGACTAAGACCTGATAGGACCATTTGTGACTGTCTGACTGTTGTATGCACATACACGTGACCTTGTATGTGAAATCAGTGTATTCATATATGTGATTGTTGGCACTTGTGTGTGTCTGCTTATGCCTATCTGTGTGAAAGAAATATAAGCTAATGTGACTATGTGTGTATGAGAGAGAGAGACAGATAGACAGATTGATGGTCTCATTGCTTCCTGGATAGCTAGCTATTCTAATATCCCAGAAGCTGGGATGGTTTCAGAGAAGACATTTCTCCTCACCACTCGCCCACTCCAAGCCCCCCATCCTGTCCACTAGTGATGCTAGTCCTCTCAGCCTTCCCTCCCCCAGCGGGACTTCCTGAAAGATAAGTAGGACAAAGCAGGAGGAATAAAGTCCCCTTTTTCCCAGGCTGGGGTCTTGAACATCCCCTCTCTGATCCACCATTGGATGTGGGTGAGAGAAGGGGTTGCCAGGGTAACCAGCTTCTCCCTCCCCACTGCTTTCTGGGGCTGTGCTGCCTGCCCCCCCCCCCAGTGTCTCCCCATCTCTACAGGCAACTCCACTCTTAATTTGCCTGGGCCCCTAACTGGTGACGGCAAATGGCTCCTTTGGTACAGTCTCCATCTGAGCGCCACTTCCCTCTCCATCAAGCTCCCCAGGCAGCCAAGCTTCAGCAGGGGAAGTCCCTGCAAACCCTCAACCCGTCTTCTGCCGCCTCCCTGCCCCGCCCAGGAGGAGAGGGTGTCTAGAGGGACCACACTGCAATGCTGAGGAGGTTGCCATGGAAACCCAGGCAGGATGGTGCGCTGCTAGGAGAGGCAAAGTGCCCCATGTTCTCTGCAAGGCTGAGGAGGGGGGCTGGGGTTGGGGTAGAGGGCCCTCTGAACAGGAGGTGCAGAGACACGGCTGGGCTCTCACCACATAGCTTCTGGGGTTCTTCTGCAGACCTCTCTCTCAAAGCCAAAGTCAGTTCAGGTTAACCTAGCAGTTCCTCTCTCAGTCCTGCTTCCCTAACCTCCTCTCCACGTTCAGACCCACCTTGAGAATGAGTGTTAGTTTGAGAGATGCCAGGCTTCACATGGGGTTTTCTATAGGGCCTGTGAAGGTATCAGAGAGGTAGGTTGTGAGGTCTGGGTGGGATAGGGCTCACGAGGGTACCTGGAGGAGGGAAAGCAAATCTGGGAATCCCAGAGAAGGCAAATTTTCCAGAAGAGAGAGGCAGGAACACTTAACCCTTTGGGGCAAGGGCCGAAATTGAGTGGGAGGGTGGCCGTCAGGGGAGCTTGGCAGGCATGAGGGTGAGGGCTGAGGGCTGCAGGGCTGGGACTCCCCACCCCCAGCCTCACCACCCCAACTCTGCCTCCAGCCATCTCTCTAGTCTGCTTTGTCTGCGTCACTGCCCTGAGCAGGGGCAGGGGTCGGGCTGCAGACCGGCTCTAGAGGTCATCTCAGCAATGCCCCTGCCTCCAGTCAGAGCCCTGCCCGTCCTGCCCCCTCCCAAGAGGGTGACTTTGGCAGCTCTCTCAGAGAAGCGACTTCCATGGTCTGACCTTTTTTCCTCTCTGTGCCTCGGGGGGTCACAGAAGGGGCCACCAAGAAGCTGCGCAGCAACATCCGGCGGAGCACGGAGACGGGCATCGCCGTGGAGATGCGGAGTCGGGTCACACGCCAGGGCAGCCGCGAGTCCACTGACGGGAGCACCAACAGCAACAGCTCCGATGGCACGTGCGTGCAGCCCACCCCACCATGTTCCCTGCCCTCCTCCTCGATCCTCTAGTCAGAGAGCCAGGGGCGGGGAAGAAAGATTTCCTGGGTTGGTTTCCAGCCCAGATATCTGGGTTCCTCTGTGTCCCTGCTTCCCTCCATCCTCCTCTCCAGGGCGTTCAGTGCCTAGGCCCCAGTCTTCCTGTTGCTCCAGGCTGCTGCCTCCTATCCGATTACCCCAGTGGCCCAGGAGCCGTTCATCCCTTCTGTGTTTCATGTCTCCCGCCTCCCAGCACCTACACACCTAAACCCCCCTCCAGAGGAGAGGGTTTCCAAAGGAAAAAGTGATCTAAAATCCTTTTAAATCTAAAACCATTGATATGGCTCAGATGAACAGAGGTCTTACCAGTGGCCTTGCTTGGAGCTTAGGGAAGGAGGTTGGACTAGATCCGTGTTTTTCAAACTGTGGGTGGTGACTCATAGGCAAGAAGTAAAATCAGTTTAGTGAGTCAAAACCAGCATTAGAAGAAGAAATAGAAAATTTAAATATATCCTATAGTAAGGATGAATTACCTTGTGAACTTTTGTTTCAGTTTTTTTAATGTATAGATGCGCATAGGTCTGCGATGTTAAATGTATTTCTTACATTTGCATGTGGGTTGCAGTCAAAAATTTGAAAATCACTGGGTTAGATAGTCCCTTGGATCTCTTCTAAATCTATGAAAGTGGTTATATGACTAAGATTTTCTGATTCGGCTTCATCAAGGCCCAGGGATGTCAGGATTTTGTGGCTCTGTTATTTGAGATTCTATGATCGTGTGTCTCACTACTAAGCCTAATTCCCTGAATGTGAGTACCACTAGCATTTATTGCATCCTACCATATGCAGGGTATCATTGGGCACGTCAGATCGGTGCTCTGGGATCTACCAGCCACTATCAGACCAAAAACAGTATTTCATTTAATGCTCATTGCAACCCTGAAGGATGTTGGTACTACCATTATCTCCATTTTACAAGTGGAGAAACTGAGGCATGGGAGGAGGGTGAGGTACCTTACCCAAGGTCACAGCTGTTAAGTAGTGGTGGACTTGAATTAAGGCCATTTGACTCTATAACCTTTGTTCACAATCTCTACACTCCCTATACCAAGCTCCTGAAATTCTGTGGCCTTGAGAGTCTAAGTTTCTTTATTTAACCTTCTTAGATCCCATTGTCCTAAGAATGTGCTATTAGGCTGTTGCTGACTGTGGCCAATAAGAGTGGGTGAGCCTTAAAGCCCCTTCCTGGGGAGTAAGGGAGAGACACAGGCCCTCCCTGCAAGATATGCAGCCTGTTTCCCCTCCCTGCCTGTCACCAGCCAACAGAGACTCAAAGCCAAACTGTCCAACAGGGGGTTCATTCTGGGACAAACTTTGATCTGTTTAGCCAGGAGCCTGAGCTGTTCTAGGAGATCTTAGAACTTTGTTTGGTCCCTGGTAGCTCATGAGCAGACATGGCCAGCCCTCCTTCATCTGTCTTTCTCTGCTGGCCACACCCAGAACATCTAGGCTTGAGGACATGAATGAGTAGCACATTTCCCTGGATGATAACAACAACAGCAACAATAAGTACCATTTATTGCTTCCAGTTTGGAACTTTTCACACGCCATCTGCCCTAGTCCTCACCATAACCCTACGTGAGTTGGGCATCATCTCCGTTTGTAGGCGAGGCAAGTCTGTTACCTTGTGGAGCCTCTATTTTCTCATCTGTAAAACTGGATCACAGCTCCTGCCACACAGAGGGGTGGTAGAGATTAAATGGCATAATGCACATGGAACGTTTAGTGTGCTGTTGGCACCTGGCCAACTTTCCATCATTGTCAGTTTTTCTTGTTACTATTTCCAGGACCCCCATAGCCGTGCACCACCCACCATCAATTGTCATTAATCTCAACCCTGTCATTGTGTTATTTTGGTCTCAGTTGTTGCTTTGGGCACCACCTCACTGTTATTGACTTGCATTTCAAACTTATGGTCAACTAAACCTCAGTTCCTGGAACTTGCTCCAGGCATTGAAATTCCAGGCCTATGTGTCTGGTTCTTGGCATTAACATGCCCTGGTGAGGACACAGGTGCCCAGCAATCCCTGCCTTTTATGAGTCACCTTAGAAATTCTGGTGCCTGAGGATTAAATACCATTATTATGTTATGTTTATTAGTCTCTTTTCTCAACTGACATCAAAGTACTTCTCTTTAATGTGCAGAGATGAACAGTCCTGTTTGTCCCCAGCCAAAGTAGTACAGAGAGGCACAGAGGGGCGTGCCCAGTGTCCCAGGGGCAAAGCCACCACATCCTGATGTCCAGATACCCTCACGTGCGCCTCTGCCTCATTCTCCAGGTTCATCTTCCCCACCACCCGCCTCGGGGCCGAAAGCCAGTTCAGTGATTTCCTGGATGGGCTGGGACCTGCCCAGATTGTGGGGCGACAGACGCTGGCAACACCACCAATGGGTGAGTCTTCTTGAGGGCGGAGCGAGTGGGTGATGGGTGGCCACACAGCAGAAAGGGTGAGCTCAGTGGGGTCCTGCGTGATGCAGTGCAAGCAGCAGAAAGGAGCCCTCACTCAGGCTTTTGTGCCAGCAAGGAGTCAGCACAGCACTCATCAGTCCCTCCCTCATCAGAGAGGAAAGGGGTCCAGCCCTTCTCTGCCGGCCGGGTGCCCTGCGGCAGCTTTGCAGCACATTCCCTCCCTCACTTCTCCACACTCTCCCACACTCACACCGCCTGCTGTGTGCCTGGCAGTGCTAAGTGCCACGCATAAAACGGTGAACAAAAATTGTCACGGCATTTACGTTAGTGGAGTCTGTTCTGTCACTGATTCACTGTGTGACCTTGGACAAGTCACTTCCCTCCTTTGAGCCTTGGTTTCCTCATCCGTAAAATGAGAATAATAGCACCCACCTTAGTTCTGCAATTTGGCAACAATTATTGAGTTCCTGTTTGATGCTTTGCGTGAAGCATCTCCTTGACTCCTTTAGGAACTGTGTCTTATTTGACTTGTTACTTCTAACAGTGCCTGGCACCTGGAAGCCTTTTAGTAATTTCCTCATCCCTTCCCTGCAGCTGGGAAGTACTTCCTGAAGTCTATACTTGGGCCTCTTAGCTGCAGTTCTGGCTCATTTCATGAGCTCTCAGATGGACCCCTCCCTCCCTCTCTCTGCCTCAGATATTGACTGTGTTGGTGTCAAGCAGCTCCTCCCCAGGCCTAGCTTCCCCAGAGATGCTGCCTCGCCTCTGCCCGCTTACCCATCAGTCTGGTCTGAGCAGTGTCTGACCCAGACGTCTGCACTCAGCCCTCATTTGGACAGTGCTCAACCTTTGACCTCATAGCAGATGAGGAAGCTGAGCACAGACAGTGCCCTGCTGCAGGCCGTGCAGTGGAGCTGAGCGCAGACAGTGCCCTGCTGCAGGCCGGGCAGGGGAGCTGAGCGCAGACAGTGCCCTGCTGCAGGCC